CGAGTTCCGATGTTGGAGATGGCGAGGGTAATCTTGATCTCGCCATCGGGGGTGAGGGTCTTTGTCGAGATCTCGGGACGGCCGTACTCGAAGGTCGTGTAGGAGAGGCCGTGGCCGAAGGGGAAGAGGGGCTCGATCTTGGCGTGGTCGTAGTGTCGGTAGCCGATGTAGAGACCTTCGCCGTATAGTACTTTGTGGTTTTCGCCGGGCCAGGTGTGCCATGCTGGAGTGTGTTCGATGCGCTTGGGGAATGTGCTCTATTTGGTGTTAGCAAGGAATACACGATGGGTGGAGATCACTTACTGGGAGCTTGCCACTCGGGTTCTCAATACCGAAGAGGACATCGGCGAGGGCATTGCCCGCTTCTTGTCCCTGATACCAACCCTGGAGAATTACAGGCACTCGATCGACCCATGGCATGTGGACCGGGCTGCCGGATTGGTTCACGACAACGGTCTTGGGGTTAGCTTTGACAACAGCTTCGATAAGTCTGTCCTGGTTTCCATCGGCAGGAAGATCCATTGTTTGACGATCGTAACCCTCTGACTCCCACTCCGCATCGACTCCGACTACAATAACAGCGACATCCGCGTCGCGAGCCGCCTGGACTGCTTGCTGGATATAATCCACCTGATCCTGCTCCTTGTATCCGATACGACAACCGCCGTATTTGTGCGTGATGCCGAATTGCTTCTGCTTCGAAAAGGGACGGAGTTCATTCGTCATCTCCACGCGCAGCTCAACAGCTTTGTCAGCCTCCATGTCAACATCAACGAGGTAGTCAATCGAGCCGTCAAACATCGCCTCGCCTTCTTCGGTCCAATCCCACAGATCGAGAACCAGCTTGTCATTGATGAAGAGCTTTCCGGGTCCAACGCTCATGAAGCTGATGGTGTGTTTGCCCGTTGTCCTCGGCATGAGGAACGTCGTGGCCACGGCAGACCATTCGGGGCCGACTTCGCTCAAGGGTGCTGAGTCCCAGAGGAAGAGATCTGTGTTTGTTCGACGCTGCTTCACCACTGGATTACCCTCAAACTTGTCTCCCGCATACCAGTCGATGTGAACGCCTGGTTTTCCCGTCTGTTCAGTGCAGTACTCAGATGCAACGGGGAGCCACTTGTGGATATGGCAACCTTGAGCGAACGAGACTTTCTGCTTGGATACCTTTCGGATGCTATCAAGCGGAATGGTGTTGTAGTATGGGTTCAGACTTGCACTTCCACCACCGCCTGCAATATGTCGATTGGCGTTCGGTCCAATAACAGCGACCTTGGTAGATTGAGGACACAAAGGAAGAATGCCACCGTCGTTCTTGAGGAGCGTGAGACCTTCGTGACCAGCAGTTCGAATGAGTTCCCTTGTCTCCTCACGGTCATCTTCCCGCTCAGGTGCTTCAGGCGACATATCACCTCCCTTGAGTCGTTCCACCAACGTGAGCACGTTCTCTGCTGCTTGGTTAATGTCCTCAATCGAAATGCGACCCTCGTTGACGGCTGTGACGAGCTTGTCGAGACGCCATTTTGAGGAGTAGGGGAATTCTATATCGCACCCTGCTTCCACAGATTCGATTGACGAGTTGATGCCTCCCCAGTCGGAAACCACGGTTCTGCGACAAGTCAGTGTTGTTCCAAGGTATAGGTCACTTCGATTTACCCCTCGTATCCCCACTCTCCGCGGAGAATGTCTTTCAATGTGTGTTTGTTCAGATCAGCGTGCACGCCATTGATGAGGTTGTACGAAGTCATGACAGCCCAGGGATTAGCCTCTCGAACAGCAATCTCAAACGGTTTCAGATAGATCTCCCGAAGAGGACGTTCAGTGATGAGCGAATCTATCGTCAACCTGTTGGTCTCTTGCTCATTTCCAACGAAATCTACAGCTTCGTCAGCACACTCCCGCCAAACTGTGTCATTGATGGTGTTTACGCTTGATAGTTGCTGCAACGCCCTTGTCTTGAAGACCTTTGATGTACTGCGCTGCCAATTTTCCAGTGAGAAGGGGGTCTTCGGAGAAAGACTCAAAGTTACGACCGCCAAGGGGATGACGGTGCATGCAGACTGTTGGAGCGAGAAGCATTTCTGCTGATCGAGCTCGAACTTCGAGGGCCAGACGTTGTCCGACCTGGTAGAGAAGATCTTTGTTCCATGTTGCTGCGAGTGAGATACCGCAAGGGAACAGTGCAGCCTACACGCTCAGTTTCAGTTATTCTTGTGATGTCATGCGAATATCACTGACCTTGGTGCCGCCGACAAAGATGCCACCGCGAGCGCCATTAGGACCATCAGTTGTCTTGATTGAAGGAATGCCCTTCTCAGGAATAGCTTTCGTCCGCCAAAAGTCTGCAGCTGTGAGGAGTGAGACCTAGAAGGGTTAGTGCATGACCACTCAAAGAACCAACAATTCATGCCTTTTCCACCAGCGTCAGCCTCGCCAGCTTCTCTCTTGCTGCAGAGCGAGTATCTCTCAGATGCTGGATCTTTTGCTGGGGACTACATGGAGGAGAGTACTCCGTATCAGGAGTAGAAGGGGTGTTTGAGTCGTTCATTGTGCTACCGCAAATGCCAAAACCGTCCTGTACGATGTCGTCTTGCTACGCCTAATATACGAGGTTGATCAAAGAAAGCACAGGCAAGTTGAACCGAGGTACGGAAAGAAAGAGTGTGTATCAAACGAGAAACCTAAAATGTGATAGCAGCCTCCCTTATACCATCCCATCTGCAAGCAACGGTACGCGAGCGGCACATAAGGTCATCTGCAGCCAAGCAACATGAGGCGAACGGGATAAGCAGAAAACAGCACAATCGGTTGACTTGAGCTCGCGATCGCAGGGAACAAGGGTTCAATGTGCATTCCGTCGAGATAGGCATCCGCTCACTAATAAGCAGTAGACAGAGATAGCCCCGCAGCTTGTACTTGTATTTAGACGGACCGGCTGAACAGGCCGGTGAAATAACCCCAATAGGGAACTTGTGCTTTTCTGTTTCAGAGATGAGAGAAACGGATGCCGGTATATACGGACCGTGAGAGCGGAAGACGACACCGGTGCTTCCGGGGGAGAAGAAGAGAGATAAGAAAGTAAGAAACACGTGGTGCGATGAATAATATATTAGAAAGGATGATAGTTCACATGTTTTATGCAAAGTGACACGATGTTGTGAATCGTCTTATCTTTATAATCTCAGCTGAGAGGGAACGTTCTTCTCCTTACGATTCTCATGTATGATGATGATGGGCGAAGCGAACCCGACAGCCTGGGACGTAGTACCTTGGACGAATCGGGAAATACGGGTCTACGGGCCGTCATTCCCAACGTCGGTCAGAGCGCACCGCCGGGGAACTCGGAAAGCCAGCTAAGTCTGTATTTAAAGAACGAAGCCATGACTTTTTACGTATGTGATGGAAGCCAAATGTGTCTTTTTCGTTGCAGTTGCCTTGTGTGGAAGTTTCGGCACTTGGGGTGGTTATCGGGCCTTGGCTTAAAAGAGGATGATGGTGATGATGGGGTTTTAGGAGATATATTCCGGGCTGCTGAATGGGGTATTTTTGGCACGAGAGCCGGTTTGAGTGCCGATGCAGGCGGAAGCAGATCATTGAGTTTACTTGTTAGTGTGTAGTTTGTTTATTGAAGGTCAAGGTGTTGGAATGTTAAGTGCTATTGTCTGTCAACAACCCCAATTGCCTTCATATCAATGAATTGTCTACTAGTGACATTAAATGTTTCATATATAATGTTTACTCTCATATCTACGTCCCAATTGAGTAATGTTTCAGATATTCTGGCTCGTCTAATGGATCTCCCATGCTCCGTGTGTCCTCCGGCTAAGAGGGGCCGGCTCGGCGTCCAAGGCTATCGGAAGCATCCGCTTACACGCGCCGACATCCGCACGTGTTGAACAACAATTGACACTCGCAAACTAAACTAAACCAAGTTCACAACATCAAAGAACCCCAATCTCATATACAAGACTGACTCTATATCCGCGCATATCACAGCATGCTTCGCTCAAGGTCAAACTCATCATACTCCCTGCAAGACCTATCTACCCGTCCCCCATCCCATCGCCCTTCTCAGACATCGGATGCAAACAGCTCAGATACAAGGCCCCGAAACAGCAACACCTCCGCGCGTGGAGATGTCTCCGCTGCGCCGCAGGAGCAAGAGGAGGTGAAGAAGAAGTCGAGGCTGGGAAGGTTCTGGCTCGAGTATGTGAGCTGTGAGGTTGACTTTTCGGCGTCGAGGGATCATCTAGGTATGTGCACCGAGAGACGCGAAAGAAGATTGGAGGAAGATCTTTGACGGGCATGAGGAAAGGGGTCTTGTGATGTAGATGGGATTGCATACGGGTGTGGTCCAGTTCGTGGGGTTGTGCAGTGGCTTCTGATATGCACTGACACACTGACACACTGACACAGGGGAAGGGGATATAACTGAGGGTTGTTAACAGTACTGACGTGGGGTTATAGCCAACGAGAGGACGTTTCTGGGTTATCTCCGTACATCAGTCGCGATGTCAATGGTCGGAACGTTGGTAGCGCAGCTGTTCTCGCTGCAGCACGAGGGTTCACATCAGGCATTTGGATACTTCGTCACGGGGAAGCCTTTAGCGATGACTTGTTACTCCTTCTCGATTGGGACGATACTTCTCGGTGCTGTGCGCACTTGGAGACATCAACGGACCATGATGAGTGGGAAGGCGTTGGTTGGAGGGTTTGAGCTTCATCTATTGGGGTTATGCTGCATGTTGGTATGTGTCACTGAGGGGTTGGTGATGTGTGACTAACGCGTTTAGCTTCTTCTGGTGTTCTTTTCTTTTCTTCTTGCTATTGATGTTGTTAAGGATAAGGAGCATGTGCCTACTGCGACTCCTTAGTTGACATCGATGCAGTGCACAGATGAAGAAGAAGAAGCTTGAGAACACAACGTATACATCCAGAAACTGCTTCCATTAATGTCTAGACACACAAAAACAAGCTACAGGTAAGTTCCTCGCATCTCATGCTCATACACTCTTGCTCTTGGCTATCCGCTTCTTGTCGCTACGCTTCTTGGGGTCCTTGTGAATACGAGCCCTGTCCTTACGCCTGTGTAGTGAGTGTTAGCCCAATACTAATAGAACAATAGAGCACATACCCGGATCGCTTGGCAGAGTTCTGGTACTTGATCAAAGCTTCTTTGTATTCCTCTGTGTTGTCACTGGCTGCCTGCAAGGCATCCGACAGAAGAAGGTCAGACACAGCATTTGAGTCGACGGATATCTTGTCTCCCATGTCGATGTCTAGGTCTGTCGTTATCGGTTGAAGGTCTGTAGTCTTGGGGCCTCGGATAGGTTGGAGTACAGGAGTACTTGGCACCTTTTGATCGAGTGTTTGTGAGGTATTGGCAATATCCAAGCTTGAAGCTTCTGGTGACAGAGACATGTTATCAGGCTCCGATGTTTGTCGGCATTGACACAGGATCGCATCGAGCCTCATCAACCTAGCCTCGAGGCTCTCGCCGCACCGAAGATAGACATCTATTGGTGCCACGACGGACGATGATGAAGAGGGACTGGGTATGGGAAGGGTACATCCATGCCCCGCGTCGGGATCATGGCTGTCTTCGATCTTTTGACTCTCAACAGGAACGAGGGTGTTCCCTGAAGTCTCAGGATTGTCCCTGTTCACAACGATCAGTCCCCATCTACAAACACGCCTCTCAACATACCGCGTATAAGCACTCTCCTCCAGAGAAATACTACTATCCCGCCTCGCCACACCGTTGGCTCTCTCAGTCGACTCACAAGAGCCACCAACACCAGACAACAGATGATGCATGGTGACTTAACTGACACTAACAAAGTAAGAATACCGGTTTGCAGAGAGACGCGGGGGCCAGCTGACTAGTTATAAAGGCCTTCCAATAACAGCCAAGCACAAAGGCTCCTCCCGTTACCGACAGAGGGGAACCGGACCCGACCATCTGGGACTGGGACGGACTCGAAGTTTGGTCCCAGCAGCATGGGACCCGTCTCATGCACCGGAATCACATCCGCGACCGGGGAGACGAAGCTAGAAGCGAACCCGCGAGGTTGGTTCACAGGGGGCGGAGGTAGATGAGGAGGAGGCTTGAAACTCACAATTCTTGGCTGACGATCATCAATCTGGCATTTAATCCGAATCACCCAGTAAATGTTGAAGCGGTGAGACGGATTATTGACCACGTTAAGCATCTCCAACATAACACACTCTCCATCGTGAGAGTGAGAGATTTTGGGGGCCGAGTTCATGTAATCTGCCACCTTCCTCGTACAGCCTGCAGAACCGACCTGTCGGTAAAAGGGGGTTCTTCTACCTGTACAGTACCGCCAGCCTGGTAGGGCCCAACCACACCAATTGAAGCTGATATGTGACGTTATTGGTTGTGTGGTGTCGGTTGGGAACACCGCTGTTTCAGGCTTTCACATGTGGAGAGACAGAGAGAGAGTCTGTGCAAAAGGACCTTGAAATAACAAATTACAGTATGTTTGCTTTTTTGGATGTTGGAGTCAGGTTGTGATGTGATGGAGTTGTTTATGATTCATGTTGAGAGGGGGTTTGTGATTGACGTGCAGCAGTCTTGGGCTTGGGCTTGGGCTTGGCTCATATGAGTTGATGAGATATTATGAAGATACAATTCACAAGAACAGACTCTTTCCTCTTTTCTTTGACAATAAACTCATTCAATTGACCTCAATTACCCATTCCAACTCCATCTTGAATGATAATCTCTCTTCTCTCCATCTGCAACTTCACCATCATCCCTTGCACCCCAGCTGCACAATCCCTGCTCCTCGGTTGGGGGCCTCAAAGTTAATCATCCCCAGTTCCCGTCCCAGCCCTCTACCTACCTACATGGTAAGTAGAGGTAGGTACTCACCACTGCCCAGCATCAGAAGAGCTCAAACCCTTAGACCTGCAGTACTCATCAATATTCGCATACCGCTCAGCAGTATTCTTGAAATGCCATCTTATATCCTCCACCAGCGGCAGTGGTAAACCCGGAGCCCCAACTTCTGCATTCTCACATCTCTGGCTAAAGTTATGGTCATACACCTACCAAACACCGTTCAGTACACTATGACGAAGCTGGGGAGAGGTATAACGTACTGTGAACATTAATCTGAGATCTTTTATCTTTTCTGCCAATCTCCCTTTTTCCCATTTGGAGAGGACGGTTGAACATGCGAGCGTCGGGTCATCAAGAGCCGCCATTGCTTTCCAGCATTTCTCTGCAATCTAAACACCATATTAGTACCCCTTCCATCCCCAACAGTCGCTGTATTCTCACCTTGGGAAAATAATTCAGCAGATCAAAACACGATTCCCTAGACTATACAATTCTCAGCAACATCTCCAAACCAACCCATCATTAATCTTACATAAGGTCCCTCCAGCGTAAGAATCCCATCCCCCGCTCTCGCCACAGTAACATGCACCCACAACATCGCAATATTGAGCTGTTCCAATTCCTGATCCCCTGACCGTGTGGTCTCAAACATGAAATCTTCAATTGCTTTGACGACCTTTTGATGGACCTGGATGAATTCTTCTCTCGCTTTCTTTTCTTCCTCTGAGGGCGGTTTCCATCCTGGGGGAGGCCTGATGTATTTGCTGGTACCCCAGTATTTCTCTTCTCGCCCGGGTATGGCGGGAGGCCAGGTCTCGGGTCTTTGCCTGATGCATGCGATTGGTGCGATGAGGCTGAGGATGGGGAGAACGTGGGCGAGCTTCATGGTGAGGAGGTTGTGGCTGGTCGTAGAAGCTGTATCTTGATGTTGGCGGATGGGGACGGACTGGGCATTTGTAGCTGGCGAGACTGGCTGCGGGGATTCGCATCCAGTGCATCATGGTGAAATAATGGCACTTGAGAAGTGGCATGTTGATTCCTCGTCCGTCTCATTGACGCCCCCAGAAAGTCCCGTTCGTGGTCACGGCCTGGCATAAAATGCCTGGTAAACTTCAGCTCTCGGCCAAAAACAACGCCACAGGCAACATCTCCAGCGAAGTGGTGGGCCATGAAGGCTAAGAAGTCATTCAGCAGCTGGCATTAAGACATAAGCGAAGGCTGAATGCGCTCTTGGTTGACTCGATGTCACCAAAGCAAACAAAGACAACATGTAGTACACAGATCAACACAGCACTCACTCAAAGTCAATCACGACATATACGAACTCAATCTCTTCGCTATTTATAGCTAAACCCCTCATCAACGCTGACCGAAATGCCCAGAGCAAAGCAAACGCTCAAAAATGCAATCTGATTTTGTATATGCAAGAAAAAAAACAGCCGCTAACACAGTGACATCTCATAGCTCATCCCGAGGCACGTTAAGGTTAGGCAGCCGCATCGACCACCATCTAGGACCGACAGGAAGACCGACCCAAACTCTGTAAAGACGCGAGACCTCTGATGTAAAAACACGCCATCTGTTACTGTTAGACTTTGCTCGGCGGGGAGAGAGGTATAAACTTACAGTGCCTTGGGCGTGCGTATCCATCCCTTAATAATGATCTTGATAGCAGCCTTGAATTGGGCGAGCTCAAAGGCAACGTGAGCCATCGTGCTGTCATCCTTGGGACCCCTCTGTCGCAGCTCGATAAACTCCCGCACAGCATCGTCCATCTGGGGATTCTCCTCAGCCTCCTTCTCAAACTTCTTGTTAAGCTTATCGTTCTTGTTGAGGTCCTCAAGACCCTCCTGCTCCTTCTCCGCAAAGGCCTTCTCCTCCATCATCTGCTGGAATTGTCCGATGTTGTAGAGAGAGCTGCTGATACGAGCGTAGGTGTTAAAGAGAGCGACCAGCTCAGTGCGCGAGAGGTACGGAACGTCGTCGCTATTGTTATCGAGCTCGAAAAGGATCTTGAGAGCGGTGCCGTAGCCAGCGGTTTGGAGCTTGCCCCAGAGACGACACTTGTCGCAGCCAACACAGTCCATGAGACGGCTGACGTTGCGGAAACGGTTGCGGAAGTCCTCCTTCAGAGATGGCCCTTCACCGTTGACAAACATCAGGCTCTCGTCGAATATTTGAGGGACACTGGCAGCTTTCTCGGTGACCTCAAGGACCTTGGCGCGAGTGGCCGCGTCCTCAGAAGCGTCTCCCATACAGAACTTGTAATCCTTCTTCTGGAGATAAGGCCCAACCTTGGCGATAGCACGGGTCATGAGCGCATAGTTGAAGTAGACGTTTCCAATGCGATCAGGGAATTTGTGCAGGCGATGCTCGTAGCAGGATAGGTTAGGGCTCCACTCGCCAGTAGTCTGGTTCAGGAAGTTCCAGCAGAGATGAGTGCTGATGCTGGCGTGCATACCGGACATGACACGGTAGAACACACGCTTCTCAAGACACTCATCGTCGACCTCGAAGCCAGTGTTTGCGACGAACGGAGTATTGGGGTTCTCCTGACGACGCTCCTCAAGCTGAGCCTGACGACCCGCCGCATCGAGAATCTGCTTGAAGTCTTGGGCAGCGGGACCGCGGTTCCATCCAGACAGGCCGAGATCTGCAGACTTGGGGAACGAGCTCTTCTGGAAACAATTCTCTCGGTAAATGGCGTCCCAGACCTGCTTGGCTCCATCGCCTGCGTATCCAGTGAATCGCTCCGGGTTTCGAACCAAGCTCACGTAATCGCCCTTTGAGCTCGCGCTCTCGTCCTCAGGAACACAGTAATCTCGCTCGTCGCACTCATCATCGTACTCAAAAACACAGCTCTCGCCGACATTCTCTCCAAGACTACCTCCAAGAGGTCGCTGAGGATGCTGGCGCTGCGCCTTCTTCCCCGGATGCTTAGCACGAGGACCCTCGAGTTTACCGAGAGCGTGCGCACGCCAGATCTCCGGGATGTCCTCCTCGTTGTCCAGCGTCTCAACCGCGCATCCAATGTTTCCGCACATGCCATTCTCGTCGTTCCAGAAGGGACATTTCTTATGAAAGAGGTTCACTCGGTAGTGCGAGAAGAAGTCGGTGTTGTGGGTGAGGTCGTCGACGGCCGGTTTGGTCAGGGTGTTGAGTTTATCGAGAGTCGCATACGAAGCGCAGGCATCGCCAACGATTGACTTGGGCGAGATCTAGAAGAACATGTTAACGATGGCTTGCGCAGTGGCGTAGGTGGCGATAAACGTACATGGCATTCATCACTAGAGCTCTCGCAAGAACCGGGTGCAGCCCAGAGGGCAAACACAGAAAGATAGAATAGTCTGCTCGCAGACTTCATTGTCGCTGAAGCTCAAGCGACGAGCCGGAGCGTAGGTGTCAGATTGTGTGTAACGAAAGATGACAAAGTCTTGATGCTACAATCGCCAACGAGTGAAAGGCGAGAGTAAAAGAGTAAAAGAGAAGAAAGAAAAAAAGTCCCGTCTTCAAAGCCGTCGTTTTGATGTAAAGAAGAAGCGACGTATGAAAGTAAGCCAGCGGCAAGTAAAGTAGACTAAAGTGGGTTGACGGCTTCGGCGGGCAGCGATGGACACTTTTCCCAAAGAGGAATGGATTCAATTGAGTCGAACGGTACCTGTAATTCAAGGGAACAAGCGACGTTGCGAGTTAAACTCAGACAAAGAATGAATTTAATTAATTCATGGGCTGAGAAGTGACTTGAGACGGAGGATTTACTTATAAATAAACTTGCTCGTGTGCTACGTATGGACAGACAGACACATTGAAAGATGACACGCTGGCTGTTGATGTAGGTACCAACCCAACCTACATGCAGAAATGCTCCGACTTCCGTGAGGCGAAGTACCTAAGTTAGAATTGATCTAGAACTCTACCGAATTGTCTCTTCTCAGAATACTTTTACAGAGTATTCATTCAGTCAACAAGCTTCTCTCAGCGAGCTTCAATAAATCTCTGTAATTACTACTAACGAAGGCGCGTCATCTTGACAAGTCAAAATAGTCACATAACAATAACAACGACGCAATAACTCTCCCTGGAACTTCAATTGTATGCATAATCTTAGTGTAACGGTGTAAGTGAAATCTGTCCAAAACCACCAATTACCAAGCATGTCTCCGTCTGCCGATCTGAGCTGATTTGAAAGCATCCTAGCGGATTTAGGGACAGCCTTCGGACCAAAAAGAGACATCAGACGATCTGCCGGGCTGTGGCTTCTGGATCAGCTCACCTAACGAAGCATTATCGTATTCCATTAAATACTTCCTACAGTAAGAAATAGCCATAACTCGAGAGTCGCTCAACATTCCCATCCAACCAAGACCCTCGTATGACATCCTCCCTTTATTTTCCCAACTCGCTGTTTCACAATTGTGGCGCATTCACATCCCATGGCTCTGGGAAACTAGCCGTGATTCATGGATCATCGACCGAGACGCCACAACTCGACAATGAGGCCATCACCCACGGACCTTCAGTAAATCGATCATTTGTTCACCTATTATTATGCGATGCTGTATCATCTGCCTCCATGTACTTCTGCACCCAGCCTCCATCACAAAGCCCATTTTTCGTCCCATCATGCGCTTGTAGAAGGGGTATCACTGAGCAAATCCTTCTTCTTTCTTCCCCTCCTCCTCCTCCAAAAAAAAAAAAAGTGTAGCCCCAAATCAGAGACATTCAACGAATAAAACACGTTTTAGAAAGCAACAACCAGCAAACAACTCGTCGAAGTGCCCAACCAAGCCCCAAACACCCACGCGCGACGCGTTTTCCGGATCGTTCCCAGATCCAACTCTCGTATTATAAACGTCCCCCCTCACGTCTTTGGTCGTTAGGTATGGCGGATCCAATTCTCGACTCCCATCATCCCGTAGCCCATCCACTCTGTGATGCAAATCTCCCCATTGCCCTGCCGCTTTGACAGCAACTCAGTGTCTATGCGTCATACACAGACTTCGGAACCAGGAGACTGGTAATTCGCCTCCCTTTACATCTCGACAGGGTATCGCATATCATAGCATAGGTAAAACAGGCCCACGGGCCTGCTACCGACTGGATGAACGGGGGACGTTGCGAACTTGATGAACCAATAAGTCTCTTTTTGCTTCTCTCTCTCTTTATATCTCAACGTGAACGTGCAAACCGTAAAATCGTGAGCCGACGTGGAAACCTCCGTCTGAGCTTGAGTATGGCACCGACAAAAAGGGTGCTGTGCAGTAAATATGTATGGTACATTGGGGGAAATCTGAGTCGTGCGTCTAGCTGGTTACTGGGGAGGTTGGAAGTTGAGCGGTCGCCTAAGTTCACGTTAGCCATCGGGAGACATTCAAGGTAGATCCCAGCTTTGGGATTGTCATGACAACATACTTGAACAGGAGGATGTGCGGTTCTGGCTCGTGGACCTCGTAGTGTTCCCATCCTAGACTCTTCACGGTTGTTAGTCCTGATTGCTTGCAATCTCGTCACCCCCGCCAACGATGGAGGCACGTGTTGGCAAGGGCGTAAAGTCGTACCTGAGTAATGCCAAGAGCTCGCCATTCCTCCTCCCACAAGAGCTTGAGGGTACCCTTGGAGGTATCGTGGTAGTCTTTGGGAATAGCCTTGAGCATGGCTTTGGGGAGCTGAACATGGCGGTATTCATATTCGCTGTCCGAGTATCGTGCAGAGTAGTGGATCGAGTCGATGAACTCCTCCACGCGAGCGCGCTCCGAGTCCGACAGAGGCCGGGGCGTCTTGTTCCGGCGAGCGGTATCGATGTCGAAAGGCATTTTGGCGGTTGTGTTCTGTTGGTTGATGAGGGGAGAGAGAGAGCTCGAGGGTGCGGGGAGGGGCACAAGAGCTTCGGCCGATCGATTGGTGAAGTGCGGGTCAAAAAACAGAGATCTGCGATTTTCCCCAATGCTTTGCGAGGTGAATGCTGCGTCGACTGTGTTTGCTGAGCCTTGAACGAGATCGAGTGAATCTGGACCTCTGCGAAATTGTTTTGAGAGCGGATGTCACGCGAGATCGGCGGGAAGTGTAGAATCTTGCAGCGCGAGGCTGGGTTTCTCGGAGGCGGTCAAAGATCTTCCGGGGTAGAAACTTGGATGGAGACGGGGGGAGGGTCCTCTTGTTAGAAACCCAGTTTGGGGGGAGAGAGCCTCGGAGGAAAACAGAACGAAGCCGTGCTTTAGAAGCAACGAAAAAGTTTTGGTGAGCGTGAAAAAAGAGCTGGTGAAGAAAATCAGGATTGAGTCTTATGGCGAAAGAGTCAATCGAGATGGAAGAGAATCAGTAAATCCTTGCGGGTAGAAGTGAAAGAGGAAGAAGTGTAGATGGGAAGAAGAAGAAAAAGGGTGAGGATGAGAGGAAATAAGGAAAGATTTTGGTGATGGTGTTGAGAGGGTGAACCTGAAATAGAAGGCAAGGCAAGGCAATGGGATAGCACCAACGGCGTTCGTTCACGCGGGAAGGAACCTTGCTTTGATTTGATTCGATTCGATTTGGTGGGTGCAGGTGTCTACGCTTCAGTGGCATCCAGTGGTGAAGAGGGGTGGCATTGGCTTTGTGTGGCTTGAGCAAAGTAAACAAACCATTTACCTCTCCCAAGCAACACCAAATAAATCCCCCTCCTTTTTGCGTCCCTTCCCTTCACGAATAAACGAACCCTCGAAATAGGGCCTCAACCTCAAGCATGATGCCTATTCAGGCAATCAGTGGCTTCTGTCTAATCATGTTGTTTCTCCTAGTCCAAGCATAGCCTCCACAAATGTCTCTCATCTTGCTTCCCTTAAACAGTGTAGTTGGAGAATGGATGTTTGATCGTCAACCAGTCACGGCTTTTGTTTACCTCGTCCTCTTTTTGCATCGAATCTACCCCTCCAATTCAAATGATCGACATCGTTTATTACTCAATCTCACTGACAAGGATTCGAATATCCAGGGGACCTAGCTATGACCGTTGAAGTTGGGGGCCATGAAATACATAACTAACAAGCCCACGCGTTTCCGGGACTTTTCCTATTGCCGTTGCCCAAGCCTCAATCACATGAATGTGAGAAGAGGTTCGTGCGTTAGCTGTGATAACCAATGCATCTTGCGAAGCTATTCAAACCCAATGGTGCAGTCGACAAGACACTAATGCAGATAGCCAAGATGATAGTGAAATAGTTTCAACTCATAATTTTTCCCTCTCCCTAACAAGCTGAAAAGTCACGAAACTCTCGCACGTGGCTCCAACACATGTCTCGTTCTCATCCCTCTGTCCAGTGTCAAAGCTAGCACTCATATCATGCTGCAGCAATGGCCTCATCTCACATTCCACCTCGTTCAGCTGGTGTATCCTCTTCTCAGCTCAAGACCCTCCCTTGCTCGCTCTTTTCAAGAGCCGAATGTCACGTCATGTCAATATGCACGATGTCACATTGTGCTGCGACTTATCCGGACATCCGGTCTTGTTTTTGCGTTGCCCGCAGACATCCGATTCGCATCTTGCTTTTTTCTGGATTGGACCATGCATCGAATTGATCCTCGGTAGCCTGGAGCAACCCGAAACTTCATGACCCCAATCTTCTAGAATGATAGCCGAGTCCAAGCCCATCCCGAGACAATCCGCCCGTTTCACCGGGGCGAGCGATCCGGCATCCTTTTGTACCCCCATGACTCCGTCTGTTCTGACGTCTGTTTCTGTTGGTTCTCTTGATATAAAAAACGTATGACTTTTGTGAACTGCAATCGATGATGGCATGGAACCAGCTATGTCATGACTTGAGAAAAGAAGGTCGCTTCGAAGATCCTCCGCCCCGGCCAGTCTCCTGCAGTCCAATGTGATGCACCGCATTTCCAATCTTGACCTTGATGCCAGCAACGTTGACCTCCCATTTCCGAATGTCATCAAACTTTGGTTGTCTGAACAATCGCAGTGTCTTGAGTGACATCTCATCTGCTGGTAGGTGAAAGGTCCAGCCAATGGATATATGGAATGCATCTCCCACTGGCTCATTGGCTTTCCCTTGATACAGTGGAGGTTGTCCATAATGTGTTGCAACCTTGTTACTCTTTGTCAACAGTGATGTGAGTTCTGGGTTCAAAGGTTGTTTAACTCCATCCTTACTGTTGGTTGGAGACTTGGGACCACTGGCGACACGAAGGATGAGGAACGTGCGATCCGAATCTGGTGATCTGTACCATGCGAGCCCTTGTGGTCGAACAACAAAGGGAGCGATGCCACTGTTGTCGAGGGCTTCTGTGATCTTGCCCAAGAACTCATCCTTGTTCCCTGTGGTAAGGGACAGTGGCCGAGACAGACTGATATGAAGGGGTAGAGGTGATCCCAGGTCG